TGTACAAGTTTCATATATTCTAGTACTAAATTATTATACCAAGTGCTGCAGCACAAAAATCTCAAATATCTCTAACACAAATCCCAAATGTCTTTATATGAACTTCAAGTATTTTTGCAAAATTCCAAGTGCCTTTGTATAAATCCAAATGTCTAAACACAAGCTTTAAGTGTTTTAAGTACAAATAACAAATGAGATAAACAATATCTTCAGTTGCCTCTGCATAATCTTCATTACCTCAAGTACAGTATTATTTAATGTTGTTTGAATCTCCACTATCTCAAATACAATAATATCTAATGTTGTTCAAACTTCTATTATCTTGAATACAATATTAAGTAATGTTATTCAAATTTCTACTATTCTTGCTAGATAAAAAAGACATATAAAGAGTACTTTTCTTCCTTCTCTGCTAATTCTAAGTTTCTATACTTTGACTTAGACCTTCTTATCTTTATTTCTAACTTGTAAAAGTGATATTCCTTCTTTAGAATAATTTCTACAGACAAGGTTGTTACTATGTATTTATTTAATAAAATTAATCTATATACTGTTACTATCTTGAACTATTTGTCTGCTACTGTGTAGTAAAGTAAACTATTATATTTCTATCTTATATATATTTGCAATAGTCAATTACTGTACTAGGTGACTTTGTTACTTGGTTGTATTGTATTAAGAAAGCTACAACTCTGTAACATAATCTATAATCTAAATTTACCAAAGTTCTATATTGTATTCTACTTATATCTAACTTAGATTTTTGTTTCACATCTAATTATATCAAGTAATTTGCAAATTTCTCTTATAATTTATTTTAAGAATTTTTAAATTAGTTTGTTAGATTATTTACTTCTTTTGAGCTACTATTTTTAATGTATTTAAAGAAATCTTTTTAGCATATATTTTAAGTTAAGATATTGTTACTACTGCTAAAGATTAGAACTACCTAAACTTTTTCTTAATTATTTAATTATTTAATCATTTAACTGTTTAATTTGGTCAGCACTAAAATAATTCCAGTTTATGACCAACATAATTTTGCCCAAAACTATAGAGCAATTTTTAAATAGTTAAATAGTCCCAATCTCTAACTATTGCTAACTTTTTAATTTAAATACTGGTAGCATATATCTTAAGCCAAATTTTTGCTACTACTATTGGTTTGTAATCTCTTTTTGGTTTTAGCATTGTTTTTAATAAATTGTATACTTAATCTATTTTTTAAATACTTTCTTTTATAGTATAAATAAAACTGTGTTTTAAAATTTTTTTTTCAATTATTTATTATTATAGTATTTCTACTATTTCCAATTATAGGTATCTTGATCTAAGTTGATATAATATTTATATTAGTATGTTTTTTTGTTTTATTATAAACTTTTATATAGATATAATCAAAGCTCTAGTTTTGTACTTTTAGAAGTATAAAACAAACTACATTCTTTATATAATATAGTTATTTTCTATTTTTAAATATTCTATAGTGCTAAAGATGCTTTTAATCTTAAAATAACAAATCTTTTATTATAGATTTTCATTATATACATTGCTTTTCTTATTACTTTAGGCTTTGTTTTCTTTATATTATTCTTTTAATTAAATTTTTCTTATCAGCTTTTTTTTCTGTATATATTTTTCAAATTATTTATATGCTTCTAATCACTTTTTCAAAATATCTTTGGTATAACCAGAATTACAAAGTTACAATTTTAGATATTCTATTCAAGTTACTAACAGGTATAAAGATGTTGATACTAGTTTGTCTTTTAGACAATTTATTTGTATATATCTTTTATATAACAGAACTTTCTATACTTTTGTTTTATATATAATATCAGCACTTTTCAATATTAGTTTCTTTCTGAAAATTTTTATTTCAGTCATATACTGCACTTGGTCTTTTCTACAAAGCTTTATATTCTATTGCTAACTTCCTTTTTGAGTTATTAAGATTAAAATCTTTTTAATTTTTAACTACTAAGCTATACGCTTATATTCTGTATACAATTTTGATTTATTTATTTTAATATTTTTGTAATAAAGTTTATAATTAAAAATAATAATAAAAATATAAATTTTAATGTTTAAATATATATATATATTTAATAATATTATTATTAGAAATTAAACTTTATAGCTTAATAATAAAGCTGCTAACTTTTTACAAACTAAACTAATAGTTTAAGTTAGACTAAAGACAAAAAAATTTAAGGATTTTAATTTTGTAATCTAAAATTAAAACTAAATCAAATGCAAAACTCTGTAGAATGTTTTAAAATAAAGTACAGAAACAAATTAGAAATTTTTAAAAAGAGATTAACTTTATAAAAAGAAATACTATATATAACTGTGTTATTATAAAAGGTTTAACATATAGCAGTATTGTGTAAATAAGTTTTAGAAGATAAAACTATATTAACATCTTTATATTCAACTTATAAAGCATTTAATTAAAAAAATAACACATATAAATATAACTAAAATTAGAGTAGTAAGCAATACAGAATATATATTTAATAAGTAATTATATATTACAACTTAGTTAATAAATGTTATAATAAAATGTAATAAGTCAAAATGTCAGACTTTTTACAACACTAAATTAATAGTACAACAGTAATAATTAATAGTATATCTATAAGAAAGTTTTTAGAAAACATATATAATTAAGTCACCAAACAACCTAATTATAAAAATATAATTAAAAAGAGTATATGATAAACTGCAGATTGATAATTGAGAACTTAATAAGTTTAGTTATAACAACAGAATACTAGAAAGTATATAAGACTGTATATACCAAATTGGTAACAATAAAAATAAGAAATTGCAAGAGTTAACCAATTTGAAAGAAAAAAAAATTACTGCAAGAAGTAGACAAATAAGTTATATTTGGATTAAGTAATAAAAAATAAAAGTAGAATAAAATGATTACAGTCTTACTGATAGCTAGTAATAATAATTAAAATATATAATAAATGCTATAAACAATATAGAAAAATGTAGATAAAGTGTCATGTTATGTGTCTAAAGCAAATAGTAATTTAGTAATACAAATATAATGTAACTATATATAATAGTAATGCAAAAAGCTAATAAAATATAAATTATAATTTGGTATTATAAAAAAAATATTTTTATTATTTAATATACTGTATTTAAAAATTATGAATTATTTAATTTACTTATTGTAACTTTATAGAATATAATAATATTTAAATAATAATAAACTTTTTATAATAGTTAAGTTGATTATATAAATTAAAAAAACTTATTATTTTATAATAAAAGATTTAATATAATTAATAATACTTTATTAATAATTCTTTAATAATTTTTTATTTATATTTATATCAATTCTAAAATATTAAAAATAACAGTAAGATGTGGTGACCTAGTTTAGTAATCAGATTGTCAATCTTCAAGTAGTAGTTTAGTGTTCAAATCCTATTGACAGTAAAAATTTAAATAATTATTTATGTAATATTCATATTACAATAACTGTTACTAATGATTAGATTAGGATACCTATAATAGCAGTCACACCAGCATAACTGGCAAGTCATAGAACATTTGCACAATGTTAGAGTTATACAGAAGAATGTAAACTAACAAATAGGTAATGCAAATACTAGATAAGTCTTTGTGATTATATAAATCCATTGAAATTGAGTAACAAGAAGTCTATTTAAGAAGATCCAATAAAAAGATAGTCAAATTTTCAATAACATTACTGTAAAAGCTAGTCTGAAAAAACAGATACCTAGGTCTTAGTAACTAAATAGGTAAGAATCTCTAAGTTGAAAGTCTTAGAGATATTACTAATCAGACCATCAGAACAAACTGAAGAAAAAAGATATTAGGCTAACCTAATATACTGATGGACTGATCATAATCCTATATAGGCCATCTGAATTGAGAGTTAGGCAAAATTCAGATATATACTAAAGTACCAGAATTATATTATGAAGTAGATGCTAAGGTCTAAATGAACTCTACAAGAGCATAGCAGTTTAATGATTAAGTCCTGACTGCAAGTATTAGTTCTTCTATAGTGATACCTAGGTCAGTTGTAAAAATAGGTATAGAAGGCTCTGGAAGGTTTACCTTAAGAATAAATTAGTCCTAAAATTGAGACAATGATCTAGGCATCTGGGTATGACCCAATAAGTTAATACAGGTTACGGGTTCAGAGGGTTTAAAGTAAAACACTCAAGCAGAGGTGTTAGGTATAGCAATTGGTAAGGAACCTTCAGGTAAACTCCTTAAATAGGTAATATAAAAAAATTACACATATAGCTAATTGTATGCTCTTCTGTAGTAGTTCATTAAATCACAATACCAAAAAATCATTAATAAAAATCAAAAGACCAAAGAGGTCACCTTAATACCAAAAAAAATAATAATAATAATAGTTAGTTTACTGTCACTTTATTCATATTTTCAAAATTTTCTATATTAATCAAAGTTTAACTATATTCATATTAATTCTAAAACATTTAAGAGTAACAGTTAATTCACTGTTACTCTATTTATATTTTCTAAACCTTTTATGCTAATCAAAGTAAGGTCTGTAAATTTATTGAACTTGATATAATTATTATGCCCATCTGAAATAACTTTTCAAACCATTCTTTTGACATTATTTATAACATTTTTTATATACAAATATTGTTAAAAAATATATATATATGTATGTTGTGGCAGAGAAAGTTGAGTTACAGATAAATGATAAATCACAGTATATAAAATTTATGTGCACAATATGCACAATGTGCTTAGAGCATAAAAAAAGTTTTATATGTTTTGGTTAGAAATGTGCACATAATTCAACTTTTGGTCTAAATAGTCCATAATCATTAGTAAAATACCAAAGATGTGCACATATATTTATATAAATATAACTATACGTATAACGTTATCAATATCACCAGATAATAATTGTCTGAAATAATTGATCATAATTAATACTGCTTGCAACCAAATATAATCAGGTATCAAATTTTCCAATGTACAGAGACCATTATACATTGTAATACGTATAATGCAAAATGCTATAAAAGTTTTATATAATAATACTAACTGTAAGACTATGCGCATTAATCAGCATTAGTTTTAGTGAATAAACTAGTTTAGAAGGACGATATACCACTAAAACAGGTATAACGAAAGTTTAGGCATCTTAAGTGAGGTTTAGAACAAAATAATTAAATTTATAAAATTTAAATCTTAATGAAAATATGCAAAGAATTTTAACTAGCATTTTTTTCAAATTTAAATGTTTTTTTATTGTATATTTTTATTTTAATAGCCGTTAGTCAAATTGAGATTATATAGTACATTAAAATTATATATCAATAAATAAGCTTTATACCCTTAAAGCAATTAATCTAAATGCCAATAAAAAGTAAGTAATAAATTGTAATTATAAATGCAGTAAGTATAATAATACGTAACAATAGGAATTTCAACAGAATCAATATGCTTACTTGTTAAAGCTGCTAATATAATATAATTAATTAGCTTTAATCAAATAAATAAATTAATATAATTTTATAAAACTACCATTAATTGCATTTAATATTTTTTGCGTGTAGATAAGTTTGCTAGTATACATAAAGTCCGGATGTTTTGGTAAAATAATTGGCAATTCTTTGGCTACTTTATCTGCTTCTAAGAATTGCTTTTTAATTTTATCATCTACAACTGAATCTTTGTCTGAATCATATACTTCGTCTGGATCATTTGCTTCAACTGAATTTTCTTTGTCTGAATCATTTACTTCATCTGAATCATTTGAATCATTTGCTTCAACTGGATTTTCTTCGCCTGAATCATTTTCTTCGCCTGAATCATTTACTTCATCTGAATCATATACTTCATCTGAATCATTTGCTTTATCTGAACTTTGCATGATATGATACCATTTATCAAATTTACGATAGACATCATAAACATCTGGCCGTTTTTGTGGATCAGCATCCATGCATTGCTTAGCCAACTCAATATAGCAATTTGGAGTTCCAGGTGCAAATTCTGGCCGCAATCCTTTGCAAATTTTTATTGCAAGACCAATATTAAACTCATGACCATCAAAAGGTCTTTGACCAGTTGACATCTCTGACATGATGACACCGAAGCCGTAAATATCGGCAGCTTTCGTGAGCTTTTGACCTAATAAAACCTCAGGAGCAACATAAGGCACAACACCATAGATATCACCTTTTGAATCATTTTCGTTTTCCTTTTTAGACAATCCTAGATCTGCGATATAAGACTGCATGTTTTTACTAATGCCTTCATTTTGTAAAATATTACCACTATGAAAGTCTGCGTGAACATATCCTGCTCTGTGAATATCATCTAAATCCGATGAAATATCAAAAAGTAGTTTCAATTTAGTTTGCCAGGTAAGATCACGAAAATTTTTTCTTAAAAACTTGTGAAGACTTCCATTATCAGCGTATTGATATACCATCAAGTATTCATTTTCGCTGTTTTGAGTTAATCCGTATATTTTAAGTTTATTACCAAATAAGCCACATGTTATATGATTCTCAAACTTTATAATTGAGTAAATAAATCAAAAGAATTAAATAAATTAGTTCATTATTTTATTTAATAAATTATTGAATAAGAAGATTTAACTAACTTCTTTTAAAGAACCAGACAAGGTCTTGATAGCAACAGTGCTAGATTCTTCACGTGATCTTTCATAATTAAAATCATCGCCGTCGATTTTTCGTATACCATCCAACCAGGTTGCTGAATATACTGAGCCGAATCCTCCTTCGCCTATTTTTTCTGAATTAATTAATTTGTGATATGGAATCCATTCGATTTCATCATCGTATGCTAAGGCTCTAAGTTGGAACTTTTTTATGCAATCATCAATATCTCTATTCCTACTTGTCCACTTTGTTGTTTCTATGTCAGGGTCGCATGATAGACACCATGCTGGTCGTGTGTTATCTTCATTACAATGCGCACATTTTGCATATTTAGAGCGGCTTCATAATCACAATATATAATATATTGATTTTATTATCTCATCTGCCATGCTTTTTAAACCTTATTTAGAATGTAAATGATTTTTTACTTACCGACTAAATTAATGCAAATGAAATGATTTGAAGGGTATTACATAATAGTAATAGTAAATAAGTATTTATGTTCTTGATTTGTGAACTGCTTAATTCCAATGAGTAATAAATGTTCTTTATACTCACTCACTGAATGAATAATTAATGCGAATGAAACGATTTGAATGGTATCACATAATAGTAATGGTAAATAAGTATTTATGTTCTTGATTTATAAAGTTGCTTTGCTGTTTTTAATTCCAATTATTAATAAATGTTCTTTATACTCACGTACTAAATGAATGATTAATGCGAATGAATTGATTTAAAGGGTATTGCATAATAGTAATGGTAAATAAGTATTTATGTTCTTGATTTGTGAACTTGCTTTGCTGTTTTTAATTCCAATGATTAA